CTAGGTCTGAAGTGGGTCTCTTGTAGACAGCATATATATGGGTCTTGTTTTTGTATCCATTCAGCCAGTCTGTGTCTTTTGGTGGGAGCATTTAATCCATTTCCATTTAAGGTAATTATCGATATGTATGTTCTTATTCCCATTTTCTTAACTGATTTGGGTTTCTTATTATAGGTCTTTTCCTCCTCTTGTGTTTCTTGTCTAGAGAAGATCCTTTGTTGTAAAGCTGGTTTGGTGGTGCTGAACTCTCTCAGCTTTTGCTTGTCTGTAAAGGTTTTAATTTCTCCATCAAATCTGAATGAGATCCTTGCTGGGTAGAGTAGTCTTGGTTGTAGGTTTTTCTCCTTCATCATATGTCCTGCCAGTCCCTTCTGGCTTGCAGAATTTCTTCCGAATGATCAGCTGTTAACCTTATGGGGATTCCCTTGTGTGTTATTTGTTGTTTTTCCCTTGCTGCTTTTAATTTTAGTTTATTTATTTTTGTTTTTTTGTGGTACGCGGGCCTCTCACTGCTGTGGCCTCTCCCATTGAGGAGCGCAGGCTCAGCGGCCATGGCTCATGGGCGCAGCCGCTCCGTGGCATGTGGGATCTTCCTGGACCGGGGTAAGAACGCGTGTCCCCTGCATTGGCAGGCGGACTCTCAACCACTGCGCCACCAGGGAAGTCCTCCCTTGCTTTTTTTTTTTTTTTTTTTTTTTTTTGCGGTACGCGGGCCTCTCACTGTTGTGGCCTCTCCCGTTGGGGAGCACAGGCTCTGGACGCACAGGCTCAGCGGCCATGGCTCACGGGCCCAGCCGCTCCGCGGCATGTGGGATCTTCCCGGACCGGGGCATGAACCCGCATCCCCTGCATCGGCAGGCAGACTCCCGAACACTGCGCCACCAGGGAAGCCCTCCCATGCTGTTTTTAATATGTTTTCTTTGTATTTAATTTTTGACAGTTTGATTAATATGTGTCTTGGCATGTTTCTCCTTGGATTTATCCTGTATGGGACTCTCTGTGCTTCCTGGACTTGATTAACTATTTCCTTTCCCATTTTAGGGAAGTTTTCAACTATAATCTCTTCAAATATTTTCTCAGTCCCTTTCTTTTTCTCTTCTTCTTCTGGAACCCCTATAATTCGAATGTTGGTGCGTTTAATGTTGTCCCAGAGGTCTCTGGAACTTTCCTCAATTCTTTTCATTCTTTTCTCTTTATTCTGCTCTGCAGTAGTTATTTCTACTATTCACTTATCCGTTCTTCTGCCTCAGTTATTCTGCTATTGATCCCATCTAGAGTATTTTTAATTTCATTTATTGTGTTGTTCATCGTTGCTTGTTTCATTCTTAGTTCTTCTAGGTCCTTGTTAAATGTTTCTTGCATTTTCTCTATTCTGTTTTCAAGATTTTGGATCATCTTTACTATCATTAATCTGAATTCTTTTTCGGGTAGCCTGCCTATTTCCTCTTCATTTGTTAGGTCTGGTGGGTTTTTATCTTGCTCCTTCATCTGCTGTGTGTTTTTCTGTCTTCTCATTTTGCTTATCTTACTGTGTTTCGGGTCTCCTTTTTGCACGCTGCAGGTTTGTAGTTCCCGTTGTTTTTGGTGTCTGTCCCCAGTGGCTAAGGTTGGTTCAGTGGGTTGTGTAGGCTTCCTGGTGGAGGGGACTAGTGCATGTGTTCTGGTGGATGAGGCTGGATCTTGTCTTTCTGGTGGGAAGGTCCATGTCTGGTGGTGTGTTTTGGGGTGTCTGTGGACTTATGATTTTAGGCAGCCTCTCTGCTAATGGGTGGGGTTGTGTTCCTGTCTTGCTAGTTGTTTGGCATACGATGTCCAGCACTGTAGCTTGCTGGTCGTTGAGTGAAGCTGGGTGTTGCTGTTGAGATGGAGATCTCTGGGAGATTTTCGCCGTTTAATATTACGTGGAGCTGGGAGGTCTCTTGTGGACCCGTGTCCTGAAGTTGGCTCTCCCACCTCAGAGGCACAGCACTGACTCCTGGCTCCAGCACCAAGAGCCTTTCATCCACAGAATAAAAGGGAGAATAAGGAGAAAGAAAGAGGATAAAATAAAATAAAGTAGGGTAAAATAAAATTAATTTATTAAAATAAAAAAATAAGTATTAAGAAAAAAAATTTTTTAAGTGAAAAAGAAAACAATAACAACAATAAATCGGACAGATAGAACCCTAGGACAAATGGTGAAAGCAAAGCTATACAGACAAAATCTCACACAGAAACACACACTCAGAAAAAGAGGAAAAGAGGAAAAAATAATAAATCTTGCTCTCAAAGTCCACCTCCTCAATTTGGGATGATTCGTTGTCTATTCAGGTATTCCACAGATGCAGGGTACATCAAGTTGTTTGTGGAGCTTTAATCCGCTGCTCCTTAGGCTGCTGGGAGAGATTTCCCTTTCTCTTCTTTGTTCGCACAGCTCTCGGGACTCAGCTTTGGATTTGGCCCCGCCTTTGTTTGTAGGTTGCCGGACGGCATCTGTTCTTTGCTCAGACAGGACGGGGTTAAAGGAGCCACTGATTCGGGGGGGCTGCGGCTCACTCAGGCCTGGGGGAGGGACGGGCACGGATGTGGGGCGAGCCTGCGGCGGCAGAGGCCAGCATGACATTGCACCAGCCTGAGGCGCGCTTTGCGTTCTCCCGAGGGAGTTGACCCTGGATCCCGGGGCCCTGGCAGTGGCGGGCTGTACAGGCTCCCCGGGAGCGTAGGTGAGGATAGTGATCTGTGTTTGCACACAGGCTTCTTGGTGGCAGCAGCAGCAGCCTTAGCGTCTCTTGCCCGTCTCTGTGCTCCGCCCTTTTAGCCGCAGCTCATGCCCGTCCCTGGAGCTCCTTTAAGCAGCGCTCTTAATCCCCTCTCCTAGCGCATCAGGAAACAAAGAGGGAAGAAAACGTCTGTTGCCTCTTCGGCAGGTCCAGGCTTTTTCCCGGACTCCCTCCAGGCTACCCGTGGCGCACTAGCCCCCTTTAGGCTGTGTTCACGCCACCAGTCCTCTCCCTGCGATCTGACCGAAGCCCGAGCCTCAGCTCCCAGCCCCGCCCGCCCCGGCGGGTGAGCAGACAAGCCTCTCGGCCTGGTGAGTGCCGGTCGGCACTGATCCTCTGTGGGGGAACCTATCCGCTTTGCCCTCTGTACCCCTGTTGCTGTGCTCTCCTCCGTGCCTACGAAGCTCCCCCCCTCCGCCACCCGCAGTCTCCGCCCGCGAAGGCAGGGGCTTCTAGTGTGTGGAAACCTTTCCTCCTTCACGGCTACCTCCCACTGGTGCAGGTCCTGTCCCTATTCTTTTGTCTCTGTTCATTCTTTTTGCTTTTGCTCTACCCAGGTACGTGGGGAGTTTCTTGCCTTTTGGGAGGTCTGAGGTCTTCTGCCAGCGTTCAGTAGGTGTTCTGTAGGAGTTGTTCCACGTGTAGATGTATTTCTGATATATTTGTGGGGCGGAAGGTGATCTCTGCCTCTTACTTTTCCGACATCTTCTCCCTCTCTGTCAACTTTGATATTTTAAAACAAAACTTTTTTGAAAATTAGAGGATTTCATATTAGCCACACCCTCAAAATCAGTTTTCATATTTTCAATAAAAATGCACCTTAGATTACAGTCTTTATTTATAAAACCTAGATTTTTATCTGTTGCTGTACATATTTATCCCCCCAAGCACAGTGATAAAGAATCTCGATCTTACCTACATTTATATAGTTCCTTCTATTCCTATTACATTTGAAGTAAGTTTTGGGGCAGTAATAAACCTGTCAGTTTTCTTAGCAGAATACTGAGTTTTCATTCTCAGAATTCATGTGATTGGTAAAGAGGGACTATATAGATGTCCTGTACAAGGAAAATGATATGAGACGAGATTATTTGGAGTTCAGAAGATGAAGTGTTAGGTCAGTTAAATGGTTGCATCTTTTGACTAAAGGTTAAGTAGATTATAGTTAATCGTATGGCACTTAAGTATGTAGCTCAAATTTTGTTCCATAAGCCTCTCAGACAATCCCCTGAACAGTTTTATATAACCTTTGAGTAAAATTGGTAGTTATCCCTTTGATCTTAGTTTTGCACAATTTATTTTTGCTGTTTTATCAAATAAGTAAGAAATGCTAAATTATTTTCAGAAGATTGCTCTGTGGGGTTTGATCCAAGGAGGACTGCCCAGTAGCTGAGCAGCATTCAGAATGCTGGTTCTCTCTCTGAGAAGGGAGAAGGGCCCTGGGAGCTCTTTGCTGGGGCTGTGATGAGTCAGGCCATAGCCTTGCAGTGTGGGACTGAATCAGTCTCACCACAATAAAGAACAAGTATTCTTTGCTTTGGAGGGTGGCAGACAAGGAAATAGTCCTCCAGAGTTGTGTACAGTCTGTTTTCTTTCGGCATAAACCTTACCTACTCAGGGCTGTTGAACTGCTCTGTTAAGCACTTCATGGTTTTAGTTCTCATGTGGTTTTTTTTTTTAGTAAATTTATTTATTTATGGCTGTGTTGGGTCTTCGTTTCTTTGCGAGGGCTTTCTCTAGTTGCGGCGAGCGGGGGCCACTCTTCATCGCGGTGCGCGGGCCTCTCACTCTCGCGGCCTCTCGTTGCGGAGCACAGGCTCCAGACGCGCAAGCTTAGTAGTTGTGGCTCACGGGCCTAGTTGCTCTGCAGCATGTGGGATCATCCCAGCCCAGGGCTTGAACCCGTGTCCCCTGCATTGGCAGGCGGATTCTTACACTGTGCCACTAGGGAAGCCCCTCTCATGTGGTTTGGAGGGAAGGAGAAGAAACTGATTTTCCATTATCTTTTTAAGTGCTCAGAAACTACTTTTTGTAAAATAACAAAAATAACCTCATAATTTTACTCTTTCTGCCTTAACTACTTACTTTTTCAAGAATTCCTTTCTATGACCCTTATTTTCTGAGTTGTTCTGTTACCTGTTTTGATTTAAAAAAATTGTTTAACCATAGAAATTGTTGTAATATATTTTGCTTTTTACCTAAATGTAATATGTATCTTCTTTTGCCATTCTTTGTTTTCAGCTACTATTTATACATGTGTGATAAAGTGGTTGCCCCAAATGTGTCGCTTACTTCGGCTGTATCCCAGCCTAAAGAGGTCACAAAGACAGAGGCAAGTAGATCTATATCAAGACACTCAGAGAAGCCTCACAGTAGTGGGAAACATCAAAAAATAGTGTCTTATCCAGATGTTTCACTGGAGGAGCAGGAGAAAATGGATCTAAAAACAAGTAGAGAATTATACAGCTGCTTAGGTAAGTATTCAGAAATTATCTTTTTAAAATCAAATATCTAATAAACGTATTCAGCATTTTCAAAGAGGATTTCTATTTAAGAGAATTTTCCAGATAATGGAAGCTTTTATCTTAAAAAAAAATACGACCTTTCAAAACTCTTGAGTGACTACATAGACCCTCAGTTGTTCTGCTTATCTAGAATGGTGATATATAGAGAGAGGCTAATGAGATAGAAAATAGACTACATGGCTGCATATTGCAAGTGACTTTTGTCTAATTATTTTTTCTTCTTCCTGCCTTTTCTTTACTGTCAGATTTCTTAAAAGGTCCTTATTTTTCTTTCTAATTTGCTGTGAACTGAGAAACCTTTTAACTAATAATTTGAAAAGTATGTGATAATCTATAAAAATATTGAATCAACTTTGTTATACACCTGAAACTAATATAATATTGTAAATCAACTATAATTTTTAAAAAAGTGTATGTAAGAGTAGTTAGGTATAGGACTCAGAGTCACTTAGTCATGGAATAAGCAAGGTTTGAAAACTCATAGCTGTGGGAGCCAGGCAGATGGCATAAATGCAGAATGCTGGCTGGACAGTAAAAAAAACTGCATAGTTACAGCGCCTTTTAAAATACTGTGGACCAGACAAGGCATGTCTGCTCGCATGCTGCCTGTGTTACCCTCTTCATAGATGTAGAGCTTTGCTTACAGCTTAGGCAAGTGCAACAGTTCTTTTCAGCTTTCTCAGAGCAGTCTAAGAGTCCTCTAGTTACCTGTTTTCATAGATAATTGAGATTCTTCAGGAGTTTTTGTACTTTAATTTTGAGATTTTTAAAACTCAGTTTTCCTTGGATTTAAATATGGCAAACGATAATCAGTAATGTATTAATACCATTATACCATGTTTGCATTATATTTCCTAAATTATTTAATTCTAGAGACTTTAAAAACTTCCCTTTCACCAGGCTCTGTCAGCCATAAATCTATTTTCTGTTTTTATGGATTTGCCTATTCTGGACATTTCATATAAGAGGGATCCTACAACATATGGCCTTTTGTTGTCTAGCCTCTTCCACCAAGGATATTTTCTCAGTCCATATTATAGCATGTATTAGTACTTCTTCCTTTTTTATGGCTTAATAACATTCTATCATATGGATGGATAATACCCCATTTTGTTTATTTATTAATCTGTTGATGGACATTTGGATGTGTCCACTTTTTGGCTATTATGACTAATGCTGTTATGAACGCTTATGCACAAGTTTTAATGTGAACGTACGTTTTCATTTCTCTTGGCTATATATTTTGCAGTGGAATTGCTGGGTCAAATGGTAACTCTATGTTTAATATCTTGAGGGACTGCCAAACTTTTCAAAGCAGCTGCACCATTGTCATTTCCAGCAGCGGCTTCTGAGGACTCTGATTTCTGCACATCTTTGCCAACACTTGTTATTGTTTGTCTTTTGATTATAGCCATCCTAGTGGTTGTGAAATGATATCTCATAGTTTTGATTTGCAATTCTCCAGTGACTAATGATACTGAGTATCTTTTCATGTTTTTATTGGACATTGCAAATCTTTGGAGAAGTGCCTGTTGAGATCCTTTGCCTATTTTTAAATTGGGTTGTCTCTTTACGACTGAATGTAAGAGTTCTTTGTACATTATGGTACTAGACCCTTATCAGATATAGGATTTGCCATTCTGTCAGTTGTCTTTTTACTTTCTTGGTAGTGTCCTTTGAAACACAAGTTTTAAATTCTGATGAAGTCCAATTTATTGTTTCTTTCGTTGCTTACTTTAGGTGTCATGTCTAAGAAACCATTTCTTAATCCAGTTAAGAGTTTTAGCTCTTACATTTAAGTCCATGATCCATTTTGAGTTAATTTTTATATAAGGTGTGAAGTTCAACCTCATTATTTGGATATGGATACAGTTGTAACAACACTGTTGAAAAGAATACTCTTTCCTGATTGAATTGTTTTGGCACCCTTGTTGAAAACCAGTTGCCCATGAAAGTACAGGTTTGTTTCTGGACTTAGTCTTTATGCCAGTACTACACACAATTATGATTTCTGTAGCTTTGTGATAAGCTTTGAAATTGGGGATTGTGAATCCTCCAACTTTGTTATTCTTTTTCAAGATTGTTTTGGCTATTTTGGTTTCCTTTTATTTCCATATGAATTTTAGAATCAGCTTGTCAGTTTCTGCCACAGAGCCAGTTGAAGTTTTGATAGGGGTTGCATTGAAAAAATAGATCATTTGAGGGAGTATTATCATTTATTGTAGTCCATTTGGGCTGCTGTAACAAAAATAACATAGACTGGGTGGCTTATACCACAAACATTTACTTTTCAACGTTCTAGAGGCTGGGAAATCCAAGATCAAGGCACTAACAGATTTGGTCTGGCAAGGGCTTGCTTGCTTCCTGGTTCCTAGATGGCCATCTTCTCACTGTACTTAAATGGTGGGAGAGCTCTCTGGAGTCTCTTTTATAAGGGCATAAATCCCATCAATGGGGGGCTCTACCCTTATGACCTAATTACCTCCTGAAAGCCCCATTTCCTAATACCATTGCATTGGGGGGCTAGGATTTCAACGTACGAATTTTGGAGGTCACTGACATTCAGATCATGATATCATCTTAACAATATTAAGTCTTCCAATCCATAAACATGGGATGGCTTTCCATTTATTTAGGTCTTTTATTTCTTTCAATAATGTTTTGTAGTTTTCATTTTACAAATTTTATACTATTTTATTAAGTTTATCCCTAAGTATCTTATTATTTTTTATTTCATTTGTAAATGAAATTATTTTCTTAATTTCATTTATGGATTGTTCTAGTGACATTTTAACAGAGTGATATTCATACTTTGTTACTTCATTTTTGCCTTTCAAAGATCCATCAGTCTCGAATAATTCTACAAGCAAAAAGAAACCTGAGCCTACCACTTGCAACTTAGCCAGAGACACAAGCAAGGCAGGAATTGACCATGATGCTGCAGCTTCATCTCCACTTCTTGTCAAAGATGTCATTTGTGAGGATGATAAGGGAAAAATCATGGAAGAAGTAATGAGAACTTATGTAAAACAACAGGAAAAACTGAACTCAATTTTGCAGAAGAAGCAACAACTTCAGATGGTAAAATTGTTATCTAAATGGTAGTCCATTGTGAAAAGATACTTTAGCATATTCTTAAGGGAAGTCAAGATGAGATGCTATAAATGTATTTAAGATTATTCAGTTTTACATTTATAAGAAAGATTAATATACTTTAAAATTTTTAGAGAAGATAGTTTGCAAGATAATTACTTATGTATAGAATTGATATGACAGCTGAATTTTAGATATTTTCTGCCCTGTTTTTTCCTGAATTGAAAATTCTAATGTGATGGAAATAAAGTAAAAATTATATTGTGATTCTTTAAATTACAGGAAGTTGAAATGTTGAGTAGTTCAAAAGCTATGAAGGAACTCACTGAAGAACAGCAGAATTTACAGAAAGAGCTTGAATCTTTGCAGAATGAACATGCTCAAAGAATGGAAGAATTTTATGTTGAACAGAAAGACTTAGAGAAAAAATTAGAGCAGGTAATGAAGCAAAAATGTACCTGTGACTCAAATTTAGAGAAAGATAAAGAGGCTGAATATGCAGCACAGGTAAGAATTACACAGTTTGTATAGTGTTGCCCTTTCAATGTGGAAATTGAAGCCGTTATTTTAATTTCATTAAAGAAATTACTTTATGTTAAGCTCATTTCATTTAGACTAGATTTCAAAATAGACAGTTCTGTTAAACACAACTTTATATCATCCAAGATGATTTTTTGACCTTGATTACTTTATTACTTTAAACTTATCAGGTTTCTGTTGTCCAGATTGCTAATCTCTAGCTATCTGAATATCAGGTTATGTTATTTTAATGTAGTATATGGGCTTCCAAATCAACGAATTAACAAACACGAACTGTTGCCCACTATGTTCACAGCACTCGGGCAAAAATGAATAGTAGCTCACAACTTGGGGAAGATGAACAAATAACTCTTAACCTGAGCCAGCTGTGATGAGAGGTATATTGAAGTGTAGGGCATAATGAAAGTGTTCTAGGTGTTCAGTTTCTTGACCTTTTGTTTCACCCTCATTTTAAGGTCATGTCAAAGTCTGATTAATAGTATTAGATATTCAAGAGATGCATGCATGAAATAGTTCATTTTTGTAATAAGTAATTTGAAAGTAGGTCTTTGCCATGATGTGAGGAGTAAGTGGAAAAGCAAAACTGAATGAAAACTGACACAGTCTTCTAAATCACACAGCTGGCAGAACTGAGACAGAGATTGGACCATGCCGAGGCTGATAGGCAAGAACTCCAGGATGAACTCAGACAGGAACGAGAGGCAAGAGAGAAGTTAGAGATGATGATAAAAGAGCTAAAGCTGCAAATTTTGAAATCATCGAAGACTGCTAAATAATAGAAACCTTTGAAGAGATTCATCTGTGTGTTCCCAACAGGGTTTATTTTTGTTTGTTTATTTGCTTTGGTAATTGAATTCTGAACAATTTATCTGCATGAAAATAACTAGGCATTGTATCCATTTGTAGATCAGAGAAAGTGAAGAGATTATATATTAGTATATAAATTTTTACATTTTCCAAATGAATGAAAATGTATGTTTCTTTGTACTTTTTTTTCAACCAGCTTAGTAACAATACTTTACGGTTTCAACTATTACATAATCTGCCTATATTTCTAATGCAATTTAGCAGTTGCATACTTTTTAAAAGCTGCATTGTGTGATGGAAAATAGTTTTGATCAATTTTGTTATCCATATTTTAGATTCAATTTTAGATACAATGGTGGCTTCATATTTCATATATAGAGCTACTCAAGGGGTTGAATCTCCATTTTTTTTCATGAACACAATCTCCTAAGTTAATATAGTATACTTATTATTATAATCAAAATTTGCTTTTATTTTGTTCATATTGTTGAATTTCCACCAGTTCTCTTCTATTTAATATCTCCTAAGAGACATTTTGTCATTAGAGGAATTTCATTGATGAGGTTATAGCACACCCCATGGGGAAGGATAACATGCTTTCTTATACACTGCTGCTAAACACAAGAAGCGGTTATAATTAGATTTTCTGTTTAAATGTGGTTATATTTAGAAAAAAATTTTTATGCAGCAACTTTAGAAGAGGGAATAAAATGTAATAATTTTTGAACTTTTGTCTATGTTAATAGTGGTGTGAAAATATTAATGTACTTGAGAAAAATTGATACCATTGATGTACATCAGTTTCCATACAATCCATAATCCTCTTGTACAGTTTTTATATGTAGTTGTGGGTCTTACTGAAATTTATATAACGGATTTGTTTTCCTTAGTGGATTTGTCTTCCTTTAAATTGTAAAATATTAAACACTTGGAAGGTTATTTTGGACTTTTGTATGTTTAAATGTTAAGTCTTACCAAAATGTGCACGAATGGACCACTTTCAGTTACTATTTAATATCAAAATCAGGAATTTACAGTCAACTGGTAGTGTATGATAGGTTAATATAGGGAAGTTTAGTTATCTGCTACTAAAAGGTTTTTAGATAATTTTTAGAAGACGGGAATTCCATAGTTTGGGGGAGGGGCAACTTCTGCACTTTTCTTTTTTTTTTTTGCACAGAAAATCCTGTCATTGTTTAATGGCACATTTCATATTAGTTAATTCTTGGCTTAAAAGATACTAGGTAAAATTCTTAGTATGCATTTTTAAAGAAAGTTTCCTGAAGCTACCATTAATTGACATTATTATCCCATGAATTTTATGTTTATGTTCTCGTGTAAGGTACTGTATGAAATTAACTTGAGAGCTAAGTTTATTTTTTAAATATATCAGCTAAGGTTAAGGTTATTTACTATTCCCATCTTAGATGATAGATACTTGGTATAGAACTTCAAAAATAAGTAGGTTATCATTTAACCAGTTATTTTCATATTTTGCTTAATGGTACTTATATATCCTAAAAGAATTTTTGTACTTCCCAAATACTAGAGTATGGTCTAAATGTGTATTTTCTATTTTCCATTTAACTTCTACTATATTAAACCTTCAATTAATTTGTTGATTCTTGTTCCTCCTTAAGGAGGAACGCATGTGAAAATGACATACAGGAACAATTATTAAAAATGACGTACCCTCCTAATACCTTTTCTTTATCTGGAGAAAGAAAAATCACAAATACTTTTTATGATACCGTTTCATTTTAGTTGTGTGTTAGTTGTGTGACAGCTAAGCTTTTTGGGAAATATAATTCAGGCCCCTATAATTTCATTTATTTTTCTAATTCACTCAAAATCTACTTATGTTACTTAGTTAAATGGGAAGCTTTCTTAAGTTTCAACTCAAAACTTCTAAAACAAATTGCTTAATCTTTGAAATATGTTACTTAAAAATCCTAAGCAATGCTTAATCACCTTTAAATTATCATAAACTCTTAATTTAGAGTTGAGTAAAGAACTGTCTTTTCTAGTTCTTCACATAAGGGAAACTTGCCACATGAAATTGTAGTCTTCATTTTCTAGAAGATACACTGATGTGCCATCAGTTTCTGTCTAACTTCTTTGAAAATGTTTTTTTAGTCAATTGTAAATAGTATGCCTATTATAGTTAAAAGTAATTTCAAGTTAAACTGTACAACATAGCTTGAAAATATAGAGACTTTGTAATACTCTACAAGTGGCCTCTGTTAAAAATATCCATATAATGATTATTCTATTTTTGCATGCTCATTTTGTGTGTTGGTTGCTAGCTTAAAGTTTGTTTCAGTGTTAGTTTTTGTGTGCCAATTCATCAGGCAAGCGGATTTTCCCTCAGACGTCATAATATTTTTCTTTTTAGGAAAAATATTTACTTTAAAAAGCTGCATTAAAGGAACGGCCTATCAAAAGTGCTAGAGCAACTTTAAAAGGAAGAAAAGATAGAATGTTAGTTTACTGGGTGATGAGTAATGTTTAATTTGGGTGATGATAGTTTCTATACTCTAAACTTTATGAGAAAAAGGTACCAAATCTATAGTAAGTGTAAAACCTGCTGTCATTGAGGAAGCTCTAAACAACCCTTATTTCACAAATGCAACTTGTAACACTAGGAAAGGCTTTGACCAACAACGTAAGCTTGGCTGTGCTTTAGTTTTGTAAAGCATATTCTTTTGCTTGAATTGCTGTGTCCAGGAGAGTCAGGATGTTTTATGGTTCTTGAACTAATTTTATAACATATTTAATATATTACCAGTTGAGCTATAAAATCATTTGTACATATTGAATTGAAAACCAGTTACTAAAGTAGGTGTAATAGACTGAGTACAATGATACTTGCAGGTTATCCATATATTTTAGAAGACATGACAGAACAACCATTTTATTTAAACATCTGTGGCTTCTGTTTGAAGGAAAGTAAAATGATAAAGAAACTTGAGTAATATGAAACATGCTCAAGGTTATTTCCCTAAATGTAATAGGAAAGCTGGTGCTGAAGGTTTTTGATCAGTTTCTAACATTTTCTTCTCAATGTGACTTATGTTTTGATTGCTTAGGGAAGAATCCTCATTTTTATTTGCTCTTACACATTTAATCTGCACGACAGGATATTAAAAATTAATGGAATGAAAAGTTGTGCTCATACTGTACATCTGTTTCTGTGCTTGAAACTACTTGTTAGTTTTTATTGAGCTGCCAGCAATAAGGGACACATTACTGCTGTATTATACATTGTGGGGTTGAATAACTTAAACAGCTGAAAATTTTTTTCTAGTGTAAGACACTTAAGAATTTCCATTATTGGAAGAAATTCGTATGGGTATTCAATATTACATCTTGTTTAAAAGGACAGTCTTTTTTTTTATTTCGTAAAATATTTCCATTTTAATTGGCTTCTAAACTATAATACATAATGCAATTTTGAGCCTGTTTTTTAGTGATAGAAGTAAATGTCTTATATAGTGCTACTGTGTTTGAATTAAAGTGAACAAGTGTAAAAACCGAAATTTTAAAAATTAAGCCCAGAAAACAAAATAGTGTATTAAGTTAGTTGAATGTAAGAGAAATTCGTAAGATTTTTTTTTCTTCAATATAAATACCTCACTTGAAAATAAAGCACAGCATACTTAAAGTAGTTCTAGTAAAAAAAAAAAAAAAAAAAAATCCTACTAAAAGAATTGCTAAATCTTAAACAACTCTTGGGGAATTATAGTTTGGGAGAAATAAAATACACTTGCTTTTAACCACCCTGTTAGAAGTATTTATTTGTCCTGATAATTTTTAGCCAACACAGTAGTCTTAAATTATTTCTGAAGTTCTAATCTGTGAAGGCAGTAAATGAAAGATCTGTTGTGCAACTGTTGAAACAAACTGTTGACTACATTGACCATAATTCAATTTAAAATCTTGCCAATGATGTACAGTTTTATGGTTAAAATTGCTGTGGTTGGTTGTATTACATGACACACAAAACTGTCCTCTACCTCACGTGAAATAAATATTTTATATGGTTTTACTATAAAACAAGACTCATCTATCTGGTCGCTTAGTTTACAAATTTTGAATTATATTTATTGAAACATGACATACTGTGCTCTTAGCTTATACCTCAACTGTATTTTGTGCTGTTCTCCATTTTCATGCCTTGTAAATAACTTGTGTAGATTGTGGATTAAATTCCAAATAAAAACTTTTAATGCCAATGAAATTGATTCAAGCCTTCTTGGTATCCTGTGTGAGTTCAGTGTTCTTGTTTCTTAAGATTGGCATTTTCTCCTTTTGTTTCTTTAAAGTCTATTCATTACATAGCAAATAACTAACTTGAGAAACTTTTTTTTTTAATTGTAAAATGTGAAATTTTATGTAATATTTTATGTGATGAACATAGCATTTTGTGATTATTCTCTTTCAAGATACTTGGACTCTTGCTTTAACATCTTTTCCTCACCTCCACTTCTGGTATTAGTTGTCAATTACTGCATAACAAACTATTCTAAAATCTAGCAGCTTAAAACAACATATCTCACACAGTATCTGAGGGTCAGAAATCCAAGAGCAGTTTAGTTGAATGTGATGGCTCAAGAGCTGTTAGAAAGGTGCTTTTATGATGTTACCTATGGCTGAAGTCATGTGAGAGCTTGACAGTTGTTGGATCTGCTTCCCAGCTCACTCAGGGCTATTGACAGGCAGTCAGTTCCCCACTGTATGGACCTGTTCATGGAGCTCTTCACAGCATGGTGGATGGCTTCCCCCAAATGAGTGATCCAAAGGAGAGAGTGATGCCACAATTTGTTTGATGACCTGGACTCCAAGTCATATACTGTTACTTTTGCCTTGTACTATTTGTTAGAAGTCAGTCACTAAGTCCAGCCCATACTCAGTCAGAGGAGATTATACAAGGGAATGAATCCCAGGAGGCAAGGATTGTTGGGGGATA